TGTTGATGGTTTTATAGTTTTTGTTATCCTTGATAATGAAGAGAAAATTGTTGATTAAAAGTGATACACGCTGCTTGAGATGGATCGGATTTAGATTCTTTTATAAAATATTGATATTTTTACCTATTTTCTATTGAGTACAACTTTATTCGATATTGTCTACATTTATTCTTTCTGTTTGTGTGTATAACTACTACCAATATAGGCTCATTCACTTCTGCTTAAACAACATCAGAGAAAATGAAATGACAAAACTTTGTGAGGCATGAATAAGAAATCTCTTTTCATTTGTAATAAAATTTTCATTGGAATATTTATGATTTTGATAAAAAAATGTAAAGACAGAGATGACAGCACAAATAACCATAATAATTGTGACAGAAAAGAACATTCCTTTATTCGCTTATCAATCATGGTGCATTACTTCTTTTCAAACTCATTTCCATTTATAGAAGATGCAAATCCTACTATTCTGAATACATTCATGATTTTTTCACATTCTTGCACCACATCAATTATGATAACTTTGTAAAAGAGCTTGAGAAAAAATGTTTTCCTACCGTTTCCATAATCAGACTTGAAGAGGAGTGTTCGATTTAGTCAAGTGAAATAATTTGAATATAAATGAATATAGTTTTTTCTTCAATGTTGCAGTATATATTCCATCATTGTCGAGAACAGCACACGATATAATCAAGCTTATAGAACGAAATGTGTAGCACACTCGTAATCAAGTATTTTAGTTGAGAAATTCAACTCTTCCCTATAGAACGCTATGTTTTTACCATGAAATTGTAGAATATTTAAACTCATTAGATCATGAAGGCTTGCCATAAATCGAGTTGACTTATGATATACGCGATCTCAGTTGAATCAGATGAAAAGCACACGAAACTGGTCCATATCGATCATTAAAAGCTGAAATGCATCATGTTTTTTCATATTTTAGGCATAGAAAATGAACAACACTACACCAAATAATATAACCAGTCTCGCGACGACGCTTCAGAGCGTTTCCATTTATTTAAACATCTGGTTTGGTTCATTTCTTTGGGTGAACGGCAATATAAATTGCTTGATCAATATGATCGTATATCGTTCACAAGCATTCCGTAATCGAGCTTGTTTTATCTATCTTTTTTGGGAATCATTTACCAATTTCTTTTTTCTCAACTTTGTACTCGTCACACGCGTGCTGGAAGAGGGTTTCCAAATTCCAGTCATGTCTCGTTACGATACAGCTTGTAAAATTCGAGAGTTCATGGCGGAATACCTCTTTCAAGTAGCAAACATATTCTTTATATGTGCTGCACTTGATCGGGTGTTATCAACACAACGCTCGAGAAGTAAGTACGATCACATCTTAACAGACAATAGTTTGAGATGACATTATAGTTTTCGAAAAACATTGGCGTATTTCAGTCGATATTTCTATAATACTTTCAGAAAATTCAGAAAACTACAGAAACAGTCTAAAATCGAAGCAATTAGTGAATGTGTGAGTTTCGTATAAAAGTATTTCTAGTTCTTAATGAACTATAAACATAATTTCGTGATAAATGAAAAACAATTCTGTTTTACTATAGAATATCGACAATGGAGCAATCGTGTTTCTCTTATTTACAAAGTGGTACCAGCAAATTTTGTCTTATGGTTACTGGTTATTGGCCATCGATTAGTATACTACAATAATTCAACTGGACAATGCATAGGTCAAGAAGGTGTATATGCTGTTTTTGATGCCTATCTTGAAGCAGGCCTATCTGGAGTTTGTTCACCTATTCTTATGATCGTACTCGCCTATCTGCTTTTAAAAAGTACTCGAAGCGTCTTTCAACGACGAGTAGTGCCTACTAATGGTGTCCCACCCATGTCTATCACAAATACATCGCATCTCCAACGAATCGACAGACAGCTGACAATTATGCTGTTTTTGCAATCACTTGATGCTCTAATTGCATTTATTCCCTACGCAGGCCTCCTTCTCTACGAGAGTATTACTGCTGGATACTATAAATCACCTACACGACAGGCCTGGGAACACCTAATTGATGACACTATCCGTCTATGTTCCTATTTATTTGCCGCTAGCGGTTTTCACATATCAATGATTTCAAATCGTGGTTACCGCGAACAATTCATGCTCTTGATTGGACTAAAGAAGGCATTGATTGTATAGGTCACACTGGAGTTTATGGGAGACGTTGTAACTGTTCAAAAATTTATAAACAGATGTATGTTGAATATGATTAGTTTTAACAACTGTTTAGAGTGTTTCTTTTTCAATAAATCTATACGCATATTAAAATCAACTTGATCTTTTCATTAGTGTTAAAATACTTCTTCCAATATACTAGCAGTTTGATTAGATAAAACTTCGATCAGCTAATGATTTCAAAGATTTATTTTACATATTGTTATATTTTTTGTAAGAATCAAGATGGTTTATAATGAATAATATCGACTTTCTTTTCTTCGACTAAGAAAAATTAATGTCACATGGTTGAATAAGAGTAGTAAACAAGGTTTTTTTTTCTTTTTCTTTGATACACTGACTTTATTTACCTTTCAATGAATCATAGATAAATAAATAAAGTAAAAAATTACATTTTATTTTCATTTTCTTCAGTAAAATCTATATCATCTTCTGCTAATTCAACTTCAATTTCCCATTTAGAACCAAAGAAATGGACACTTAAAATTTTTAATTTTGTTCCGACAGCTAAAAGTGCTTCTTTTTCATACATAAATGTGCTCCATTTCCATATATTTGCAATATTTATCTTTGCTTTATCATTACAAGTATCAGTTCTTAATATTAATATAGCATTACCAGAATAAATCAGAAGACGATCTATAGTAAACGATGTAAATGAATTTGTGTAGTAATATTCATTTCTTTTATCTAAATAATATTGAATTTCTCTATCAGTTAATGTTAAACCACGATAATATACATGTTTAATATCAAATTGATTTAAACTTCGTATCAACGAACGTAATTTATTCACATAAATCCAATCAATTTCATTTAAATTAACACTTAATAAATTTAAATTTGTTTTCATATAACATTCATTTGATTGACTATTCGTATAAGATTTTAAAACATCAATCATATCATCTGTTAATTCATATTCATTGATTAAAAGTGGATAAACTTGTTTAAGATATGAATCATATGGATTTTTTAATAAGATTTTAAAATTAATTATATCGTTTTCATGATCATAATAGAAATAATCTGTATCGAGATCGTTTGTTAATGAAGCAAGATTTTTTGGTAAATAAATATTTGTCTGAGCATTCAAAACAGACCCCATTTTGTATTAAATCTATTGGCAAGAGCAAAAAAAGAATCAAAATTTCGAAAAATAAGAATAAGAAAAAGGTAAATATGACTCATAATTTTTCATCATGTAAAGTAAATCGATGAATCATTTCTTTAAAATGACACATGACTTTAATGTGAATCATTTCAACGCAAGAAGTTATTAACATTTAATTCAATGAATCCGACCAATCGGAGGTATATTCATAAATTATTGGATCAAGATGAGATTAACCAATAAAAATTTTATAGACTTTTAAAAATCTATTTTTGAGGGTGTGGGTGAAAGTGTAAGTGATACCTGTAATCAATATCCATACTCATCATAGAACAAGATTTTGTATTCCATTATATCTTTAATACATGAATTGCTACATTTTTTGATATATTTATCTATCAAATATTTGATCAAATAGACAAATTTTGAAATTGGATCCTTTTTTATCTCTCTTTCTTA